GGACTCCTGCATGAGAGCAGTCCAAAACGCCGACATGAAACGAGTGTCGCGGTCGCTCACAATGTCTTCTGGTACACCGTGGCCACAAATCCAACCAGTGTGCAGGAGGCGTGCCAACTCGGGAGCCGTGGAGTAGTACTTGCAAGGAAGAAAACGCGCGTACTTACTCAATCGGTCCACAACCGTGAGGATGCCGTCGTGCCCAAGCCAGTCGCGAGGAAACGGACCGGTGATGTCCATGGTAATGGAGAGACCGGTTTCCCGTGGGATAGGCATCGGGTGTAACTCGCCGTAGGGATTGCCGTTGCGGGGCTTGCTGCGTCGGCAAACTTCACAAGAGTCGCAATACCGAGTGACATCGGTGATGAGGTCGGGCCATCGGAATCGTTGTCGAAGCCGTGCAATAGTGCGGTTGACTCCGAAATGGCCGGCGAGTCGTGAATCATGGTACTCGCCAAGGAGGCGAGTCCGAAGACGACGGTCACGTGGGACACATAGTAAGTCCTTGCCTCTCGAGTGGAGGAGCAAGTACCCGTCGGCAATGCGGTAATGGCTGGCTGGCGGGTAATCCGAAGATAGCTGTGCATAGAGCGTGCCGAAGTCCGGATCAGACTGATATGCCCGGATGAAGTGTCGCTGAAGCTCCTCGTCGAATGCAAAGGCATGACGTGACATAGCACAAAGATCAGGTCTTCGCGAGAGTGCATYYGCTGYGCGATTGGAGAGGCCGGGGACATGYTTYGGTGTGAAGTCAAATTGGTCGATGAAGTACATCCATCGTCCGATCGTGCTGCTCACCGTGTCCTGCGTCTTGTAGTAGGTCAATGGATTGTTGTCTGTGACCCATGTGAACCTACGACGCCCAGGGAGGAAGTGCCACCAGCGCTTGAGAGCCATCACGAATGCGAGTAGCTCCTTCCTTGTGTCATCAAGCGAGTTGATGGGAGGCACTTTGTGGCTAAAATACTCCACAGGGTGCCAATCGTCGCCGTCGTGCTGTTCCAAGACTGCCCCAATGCCATAGCCGGAAGCGTCCGTAGTCACTCGCGTCGATGCTAAGGACGGGTGCCATGAGCATAGTCGTCTTAAGTGCTTGGAATGACTGGCGTGCGTCGTCATCGAATACGAATGGCACCTTTGGCGACTGTAACCTCGTCATAGGTGCAACAATCCTGGAGTATCCGGTGATGAATCGCTGATAGTAGCCCGCCAACCCCATGAATGAACGAACGTCCGTGGTGTTGGTGGGCTCGGGCCATACTCGTAGGGCCTCGATCTTGTCCGCAAGCGGACGGATGCCTTGYGGCGTCACATAGTGTCCCAAGTACTCCAGCTCCTGCTGTGCGAACTCACACTTGTCGCGGTTTGCTTTGTACTTGGCATGTCGTAGCCACTCCAAAACGGTGCACAGGTGTTCCACATGCTCGTCCAGACTCCGGCTGTAAACCAGAATGTCGTCGAGGTAGATAAGTACGAAACAATCCAGCATGTGTTGGAACTCCGTCGTCATAGCCGCTTGGAAAGTGGTTGGGGCATTCGTAAGGCCAAATGGCATGACCAGCCATTCGAAATGCCCATACCGTGTCTTGAACGCGGTCTTGTAGCGATCCTCCTTGCGAATCTCGAGTTGGTGGTACCCTGACTTGAGATCCAGCTTAGAAAAGAATTGGGCGCCGCCCAATCGCTCGAGAAGGTCGTCGATGCGTGGGAGAGGGCTGGCGTTCCTGATCGTCTGCGCGTTGAGCTTGCGATAATCGATGCACAACCGCAGGTCCTTGTTCTTCTTCCGAACGAAGAGAGGAGCACCGTATGGCTATGAGCTAGGCCGAATCCAACCTTTCTCCAGAAGGTCGTCGAGTTGTGCCCGAAGCACACTTAACTCCTCCTCACTCATTCGGTAGATGCAACCGTGCGGAGGTACGGCCCCGTCCTCGAGGATGATCTCGTGGCGGATGGGTCGATCCGGTACTACTCCGTGCGGGCCTTCGAACACCTCGCTGTAGGCGTCGAGAAGTTCGGTGATGCGTGGATCCGAAGGTGAGTGCGTCGATGAAGCGTCATGGGGCGGGAGGGCGTGGAGAAAACACACCCCCATCTCCTCGATGTCGTCTCTGATGATGGAARCTCGCATGCTTGCGGCGGATACCACGTGGCAGCCGATCGAAGGATGAGGAAGACGCACCGTGCATGGAACTAATACTCCGTTCCGGTCACAAACGTGAATGGTGCGGTTGAAGAAGTTCACCGAATGATCCTTGCTTCGCAGCCATGACATGCCCACAGGGAAACACCGAGCTTGGATCGCAGACCCAAATGGGTCCACATCCGCGGCCTACTTGGTCCGCACCGCGGACCCGATTTTACACGAATTTTCCTGAATTAAATAATAGGTAAAAAAAATATATATATATATATGGGGTTGTAGGGAATTTTGAGCCCCACAACCCCATATTTTTATTTTTTGAATTCGAATTTATTTAGGATTTTTAAAAAATCAAAAACGAAATTGGATTTAAAGAAAATTAAAAAATATATATATAAAGAAAAGCAGAAATTTTTTTTGGTCATTTTTTATCATGAGATATATGGTCCATGAGTTTTCCTGTATTTTTTTAGAAATGAATTCATGTTTTTTGTAGAAGTGTGAGGTGTTTT